CAAACTGGAGCTGTGTACAGAGAGGAAAAAAGGAGCGAATCGGACGTAAAACTTTAAATAATAAACAGCGGNTGCGATTTTGGTGGACCTATGCTTTTGTTCTTGGTTTGTACAGGGATGGTAAGTCTCGAGAAGTCTCTAGGTGGAATAAGGCTTCTAGCCCTAGGACTAGGCTGCGTGGGGGCGTCTCCTTTCGCAGTTGAGGAGTCCGGTGGACAGGCCGAGTAGAAGCAAACCCGCGGCGCGTCGCGACGAGCGAGGTCGCGTCTCCAGTCTTAAGGAGCGGCGGTAGGAGCGCGTTCGTCCCCCGTAGTGCCGGGTCGGGCCGTCTTAGACGGGCGAAAGGGTCGAGGCGCTCGGACAGCGGTTCGAGGTCGCGCCAGGGGGTCGGGTCCGGTCGCGAGGTCGGTCGGGGAGCCTTCTCCCCTCTCCCGCCCGGAGCGCGGCCGCCCCTTTTTTCCTGGTTTTTTTGCTCAGGAGGTCCTGTGTAGCAACCAACTTAGCGCGTTGACACCTGGAAGACAGCTGATGGAAAAGGGGAGAGCATATATAGAGGGATTACCAGGTGCGATGATTAGGCTTGTGAATGGAGGGACGTGATAGGTTTGCTGAGGAGTGGCGCTCCCTATCATTTAGTGAAGGAAGCGAGTATTGCCATGACGTGCAATACGAAGTGATAGGTCTTCCTGTCTGAACTTGCGCTGAGCTTCATTTGTTTTACACCACACATGCAACAACCATGATACTAGATTACTTGAGATACATATTGGCTTGGAGTGGGAGAGAATTGCATATAAAGTTTTATTTACAATTTACTGTAGATTTCCACCCTACAGTAGTTGACTGTAGGCCAACTCATGTTCAGCCCACACGGTAACCAAGATCAATCGGAATTATCGGGCACTTTTGCCATAAAAGCCCCCCTTGGTTTGCCTCATTAGTGATAAACATGGGCAGGCATGGTGACATACAGTCAATATTGTGTAAAGAAGGTCAATATTCAGATGGTATGGGTTGCATAAAGTGGTCAGATCTTTTTTCATGGTTCATATTTGTATTTTGGCTTTCTATTGTAACATATCAACACTGATTTAATGTCCAAAAAATCCATACTTTTATTAATACAGTCTGTTTGAGTTTACATTCTGCCAGGAATGCTCCATTTTAACACCTGCCTCTTGAAGCCCCCCAGCCCAACAAAACTAAGTGTGCTCTGATTGGCTTAGGGAAAACAATCAACAGTAGTTCTCACGTCAATGTTTGATATTCTCGGATGGGCCTCAAGTCTCCATACTTCTGCATATAATTTTAGTGCAATCCATAAACTAAATGATGAATTTTTATTTCCAAGTACTTTTTTATCTTCCAGTGTATGAATATGTTAACACCAAATAGAAATGGAATAGAATATATATTGTGGCAAACGAACAAAAATAGAAGAAGTTCTTCAGTCCTCATCTCTGGTTTGACGTAGGCTTTGCGTACCCTCTGGGGAAAGATCAAGGCCTTATCGATGCCCAGCCCTCAGCTCAGCACCCATATGCCTTTCTTTTCATCTTTTTTATCACACTTGCGTTGTCCCATTTTTAGATGAAAGCAATCCGACTGAGGCATATTGTTCATTTGGCATTTGAACGCATGAACGCATATTGAGTTGTGCAAATTGTGAACATTTTGAAGACATTTCAAACCTTATCTTGTAGGTTTGTTGTGTGTGTGTGTTGTGTGTGTGTGTGTGTGTGTGTGTGTGTGTGTGTGTGTGTGTGTGTGTGTGTGTGTGTGTGTGTGTGTGTGTGTGTGTGTGTGTGTGCAGACATGCCAGGCAGACTATAGACTTACGTGAACAGATGTTCTTAGACAGGAAGTAACAACACCCCTCCTTCCCCCTTCACCCGTCAGCAGTTTCAACTCCCTCACTTCTCCTTTTACCAGGCAGCATCCAAAACACATTCATAAAGAATTATTTGCATAAGCTACTAACAGCTGTGTTATGTGGTGCCATTTTACAGGAACACAATGAGATGAAATGACATTAACTGTTTACCATACCAAGTGATTTCCTCGTAATGTAACTGTTGGTGTCAGACAAAACGTAATGCTTAGTTCAGTTACAATTCCTATAAATTGTTTATCCCTGAGCTTAACTGCTTTCAGCTTTCTAACCTCTTCTCTGGCAATACATGCATTGGTTCTCCATGCAATGTGATAACACTGCATGGAGTACCAAACAAAAGATTTGGTGTTGGAGGAAACATAATATAAAATGTAAATGAAATTATTATTTAGAAAATGATTTCACAATTCTAATCATTTGTACCCAGCTGGTGGGAGAACGTCATTTTATTGATTTTGTTTGTTCTCTTATTTGGTATGTTGACATAGACAAAGGCATACAGTGAAGCTGACTGCTATTTAATTCAGTTTCACTGAGTACCTGAAGGGAAAAGGACACTGCAGCTTCAGTTTATCAGGCCCACTGGCTCATAGCTGTACGGCAAAGAGCCTTTGCTTCACATAATATGTTTTTTTAATCGATGGGTATTGCTTTTCATGTTAGAAAATAGAGGTTTTGAATTAGTCTGCAGATAAGTGAATACAAAGTTGATATAATGTTCCACTTGCTCTACTCTGACTGCTGAACTGCTTTTTAAGTCTGTGCCGTCTAGCTAGCAGCTGGCTGTAGCGTTAGCCAGCTGCTAGCTAGGAGCGTGCACAGGTCTAAACCTATCAGGAGCTCAATACTTTCTACTATTTTTTCCTCCAAAGCCCTTCCTTCTTTTCTACTATCTATAAAGTTTATTATATTACGTTTGAAGCACGTCACACAGGTGTATGAAAAGTTGTGGTGCTTATACATGAGAGTAACACATTCCGGGCAAAAGTGGCTCCGCCCACATTTTGGGGAAAACAAAGCTGTCATTTTCAGAAATGTAAGAAAACCGTGGATTTTTGGATCTTCAAAGAGGCCGATTACAATGGTCAGACATGCAAACAATTACATTAAATCATTAAAAATCAACGATAGGGCTCAGTATATGGTTAAATATAGCAGTAGGCGATCAATGTCCATAGATGAGAGTAACATCTACGTAACTTCCGGGCGAGAATTACGGCCCCGCCCACTTTTGGGGGAAAACATTTGAATGGCGATCAAGCCTGAAGCCACATAGCTCCTCTTTTACTGTCCTTTTTTCTTAGAGGAAGTACAAAAAAACGTAACTCTGGGTTTTTTGTTTATGTTTGAGATGCAACAAACGACACAGCTGCTTTTTGGCATGATAAAACAATTATTTTCCGCCTCGCTCATGCGAAATCACGGCCTCGCCTACTGATTTCAATTTAACCATATATCGAGCCCAATCGTCGATTTCAAATGATTTAATGTAATTGTTTGCCTGACTGGCCATCTTTGAAGATCCAAAAATCCATGGTTTTCAAAAATATCTGATCGGATTGGCAAGAGCTTCAGAATTTGTATTGGCAGCCATTCAAATTACAGCGTTGTTTTCCCCCAAAAGTGGGCGGGGCCGTAATTTTCGCCCGGAAGTGACGTAGGTGTTACTCTCATCTATACATCAACATTTTTGTTTACTTACTGTAACCTACTGTACTCTGTCTATGACTGCTGAACTGCTTGTGAAGTCTTTGGTGGCTAGCTAGCAGCTAGCTACAGCTAGCCACCTAGCCCTCCCTTCTTTTCTCTTTAAAGTTTATGAATTAGACTCATAAAATCTGCAACACAATGGTCAAATTGCTTGTCTTTGACATTTCACAGCGTTTGCTTTGAAACAGTTTTTAATATTCTGAACCCTGTGTTGCTGGATCTTTCGGTATTATATCACATTGTCTGGATAAACAGGGCTTGGAATCTATTTAGCTTTTAGTGTCCTGATTTATTTCAAAAATGACCTCCAAAACTAAAACAATTTCTCCTCCTCTGCCTTTTCTGCTCACGTTGAATGAGCCAAATGTGATGTAAAGTAGTATTGCATGCATTTGTATAATTTCACGATTAACCCACAATGCGGCCATTGATGTTTTTTTATTTGCCCACATTAAAGTTGGGCAGTGATGATTGTCAATTTCCCTAAAAAATATGCTGACAATTTGTTTTGGTCTACAAATACACCAAATACAGCAATAAAATGATGATCAACAGTATGATGATCTTTATTCTCAGTGAGTGTGCACTGGAGGTTTTGAGTTTCCAAGTTGCATACTGAACCAGTACCTATGATTATTATTCTCCTGTAGCAATTTTTACATTTGTTTTGAATACTAAAGAAACATTGTCAAGGTCCTCCACTGATATTTTTAAAGACAGATTTTAGTATTTCTATAAAGGAGACATCACATATATATAGCACCCATTCCACTGTGTCACAGAGAATTTGTCTTTCTTCATTAAGGCGCTGATGTTCTGGAAAGAGCCGAGCCCACAGTCGGCACAGGCACATTTTTATTATTTAGACCATTTCATTCGGTACATCTCTGCAGTATCTAGCCTTGCTTGTTGGGCAAGTGGAATTGCTGAATAAAGAAAATGCCCGGGATCGCACAATTAAAGTAAAGCTCAAAATGATTAAATCAACAACATTAACCGAAACCATTGTAATAGTGACAGTGTACAAATATCACAAAATCTACCAAAATCCCGTAGTTGTTTTTAGGGCCCCTATGTTATTAGATCATAATTACTTGAGGACAATGTGTTATTGTATAATTATAAGATATAACCTCACGCAAAAACAAACAAAACAGCAAAAAAACACCCATGGATGAGCCGGCTGTCTTTTTCAAATTTCTAAGGAAACAGTTGACAGGATGTTGGACCCAGGGGCTTTTCTGTATCACTGATGGAGCTGTTAGCTGCAAGTGGTAACACCATTACAGGAAGTAGAGCAAAAGGTATGGGAAATGAAATGCGAGCAGGTTTTATAAAAGACGAGATGGTTCACCGCGTGATGGGTTAAAAAATTCAGAGAGCTATTTGTGGTGTGCCGCTTTGCACAACAGATAAACACAAAACAGCATGGAGACGCTTCTTTTTCTATTTCCTCAATTCAACTACATGGCCCCAAAGGAGGAAGCGTGTTTCAAAATGTTTGGTCCACAACACTCGCAGGCACCAAAGATGAAGGACGATTTTAGCAGGTTGGTGTGTGAAACTCAGCTGTTTTCTATTGTTTAATTGTTTTAAGAGGAACTCATTTCATAGTCTGCTTTAGTAAATGGAGAAAAACAAGTGAACTTTTGTCATGAGTAGAGATATAGCAAGTTTCTTTGTGGTCTCTTCTTACTAAAAAGCAACATAATACTGCGTGATCTAATGTTTTTATATAGTACCTGAAAATGAGTGCAGTTGGTACCATTTAAGGATGATAGACTTCCAAAAGCTGTCCTCCATGATGAGTCTCTTCATGAACACGCTTACAAGCTAGACTTTTCTTCCAATTTGTATTGGACCACAAAGACATGTTGTGTAATTTATGGCACGTCTTATAAGGCACTTTAGCAACGTGTCTGCGAGGAGTTATTCTCTGATAAGTTGCTGATTTGGTTCACAGTGCGACAGTTTAAGGGGCTGACAGTTTGTGGAACTTGATGTATTTCCTCCTGTATTTGCAGACAGAAAGACAAGGAGAGGAAGAGCCGACTCAGCCTTTTTCTCACCAAGTCGGGCTCTCATGAAAACGTCAGTCCCCATAAAAAGACAAATACGCCACCCAGCAAGTAAGGCAAAATGCATTTATATCAAATATTGTGTTTGACAAGTATTACTCATGTTTAACATCGGTTTCCAGTACCCTCCATGACTCATTGCACACTGGTAGCAACATGGCATGTAGACGTGTCAAAGCATACCTCAACACTACTTGCTGCATCAATAGGGAAGAGCTGAGCGTATCTCTGATTTTCTTGCAGCATCTCACCAGAGGCGGCTTTGCAATGGAGCGACTCCTTTGAAGAACTGCTGAAGCACTCAGGTCAGATTAATGCCCAAAGGTTCACTAGTACGTTGAGGCAAATTGTTGCACAAAATGGTGTCTTCTGCCCTCAAACTGTTTGCTACATTTGAATTGTTAACTGATAAGAAGTGCTAGGGGCAATCAATAGTTAATGGAGTGAGAAGTGCTAGTTTCACTACATCTTTTAATGTTTGTCCGCACAGATAGCAATACAGAAACTGTGCAACTTCCTCATAAGCACAGAAGTTGCATTGTAGTGTCACTTTGAAACACTGTGAACCACTGAATGTGCTCATTTTGGAATGGTTTTATTGATAGCATTCAAGATTTATAATACTATAAGTATAATTATGCTATTGAAGGGTTATGTTATTTCTAAGTTATTGTTACAGTTGGCCCTTTTTAGCGACTTTTTAGAGGAAGAAACAGAGGTGGAAGAAGTATTCTGATATGTGTGCAGTACAAAGCGTACAATTTTGATTGTGCACTAAAATATTCCCTCTTATATGATGTTTCAGAATTAATATTACTGATACATTAATGCATATGTTTCTTTTAAAAGCTTTTGATTTATGAGGGTTGCAAATTGTAACTCCATCTATACTCCATATTCAGCAAATGTATCCTCATACAGAATTCATACATTATGATATCTTACAAAAAGTAATTTTTCAATTACCACTCCTTACATACATGCAGTCTTTACAAAATAAACTTCTGTCTCCACAGGAAACATCTTGGTTAGGTTTTTCTGTGTTTTAGGTTAAAATAACTAAGTCACGTAGTTACGTGACAAGTAAGTCAATGTTTAGGTTAAAATAGCTACTGAGGGGGCTTTACGTACTGTAGGTACAGAAGTTGCATGTTAACTAAATAAATTATGGTTTCACACTCACGCAGAGCGGTCTGGTGTTTTTGGACCCTCCTTCTACCCTGACATCATACCTACATGTAAAACCCCTGCTCTTTTTTCGTACAATTTCCCAAAAAAATAGAACAAATATCATAACCATATCAACACATATGAGATCTGTTATCTAAATGTAATCAAAGCCAAAAGTCAGACAAATGTAATGGAGTAAAACATAATTCAGAATTCATATTTGTATTGTGTGCCTGTGAGATGTTTACGTTCTTTAATGTTCATGAGGTCTTTATTTTTCTCATACTGCCTGTTGCAGTTCACCCTCTGTCTGAAACCAGAGCCCATTCTGCTCTGATTTTTTAGCTGGCCGGCTCTGTTTTGGTCAACCGCTTAGAGATGTCCCTTAGCCTTTAGAAACGCAAGTGTTAGTGACTATGTTACGGAGGTAAACAAAGGAGTCTAAACCTTGGGATTTTAGCCTGCTTTTGCAGACAATTTACATGCACAAAAGCCTATATAACATGCTACAGGAAAGGGTAACCGCCAAAAAGCATAATGGGGCCCGTTTAAATTCAACCAGTGGTCCTTAACACATCCTGATAATCTAATGTGAGCTTTGTTTACCCAAAGGTACTGACAATATCAATTTTATGATGAACAGTAGTGGGTCTTTGTATTGTGTTTATAGTAAATAACATTGTCTTTGTTTCTCTTCATCAGATGGGGTGGAAAGCTTCTCTCAGTTCCTCAGGACAGAGTTCAGTGAGGAAAACATAGAGTTCTGGTTGGCCTGTGAAGAATACAAGACCATTGATTCTGAGACCAAGCTGCTGTCCAAAGCCAAATATATTTATACGGTTTATATTGAATCGGAGGCGCCTAAAGAGGTACGGCATGGCATTTATATTAATCATAAACTGTGTAGATGTAATGCTGCATAATAGGCTATTATGTTGAGATGCAAAGGCTCAACAACGCATTACCTTTGCCTTTGGCTTTTGGAATGCTGTTGGAGGTTTGAAATATATATGTCATTATATGAAAATAACAGTGGGTGAATTCTTAAGCATTGCATAGTCATGAGCCTTCAGCGGTTTGACCTTTGCGAACAATCGTTAGGAGCAACCGCTCGCTGAGGTCATGCATGTAGTGCAAAGCAGCTCAGGTTATTTCTGTGTGACACAGTCGCAGTTTCGAAGGTTTCCGTTCCATGCAGGGATGCTGCGACCAACATGCGATATGCTTTCATGACCTGCAGTGGATCTGACCGTTGAGAGTGTGCTGTCTGGTTTGTGGTTTCCATAGTCCTCTGCAGAACTGCAGAGAGCATCACCCACACACTTTCATTCTAACATGATCGCCTGTGTAAATATGAAACATGCTGTGCTAGCTTAAAAGCATGACACAGCTTGAGTGATTTGCAGAGATATCCAAATGTAAATTAATGTAACCTTCAATATTTAAGGTGGGAGAGTTGCAGTTTGATATGCATTAATATTTGAGAGCTGTGGTAAACATTTTGTATTGCTGTGTAAAAAGCTTAATCGCTGTTATATTTTAAAAAGAATGTCTTGCCAACATTGTCCTTATCAGTATTTAAACCTACAATTAATTCACAAAATCAGGCATCAGATAATGAACACATGGGGAGCGGATGTTTGTCAGTGAATGCCTAAAACCGAATTAAGCTAAGTGACGGCCAAAACTGAGAATCTCTCCTCATCAGCTCTCAGTGTCTTTTATCACCAAACAGCAGGGTCATGAATAAAACCATATTTTAGCTTTGGCGCATTTGATTTCCCCTTTGGAAATAAATTATTGTATTCTGGTCGGGGAGAACTTATTTCTCAGGAAAAACAACATGCATACAGATACTGATTAATAAATGGACAGGCTTACTAGGCATAGGCCCAGGGGCCAACATTTCTTGTTGTGAAGTCACGAGAAACAAAGATTACTAAATAGAGCAGAAAACATCCAAAAAGACATGTAAAACCTTCAGAAAGACGAAAAACAACTAACAAGCAAATCTAATAGACACAAAATGACCGCATTTTAACACAAACAGACCAAAATGACATGCAAAACATCTACAAAGAGATCCACACTAATAAAAAAAGAGACAAAATACAACCAAAGAGAGGTGCAAAACGCCTGCAAAGACATGCAAAATGACCAACAAGATGTATCTGTGGACCTGAAGCTCCTGTTCTTCATGTATGTAGGGGTGTATTTGCCCTGGTTACGCCCAGGGGGCTTTGTCTCCTTTTCCATCTATGCTTACATGCAATGCCTGCACTGTTATAAACCTTATCCAAATCATGACAAAAAAATGACTAAACTGTGCATCATTGTATATGGTGTATTATTTGATATAAATGTAGTTGAGTTTTCATTCATTGTGTTTTAAATCATTTTCTTTAATTTAGGTCAACATCGACTACAACACCAAGGTGGCCATTCAGAAGGTCATGGCAAAGCCCACAATGAGCTGTTTTGAAGCAGCCCAGATAAAAATCTACAGCCTGATGAAAAAGGACTCCTTTCCCAGGTTCCTCAACTCTGACATTTATTTGGGTCTCACCAGGAAGAAAGGGCCTGGGGCCAACATGTTTCGCAGAAGGTCACGCTCCTGTGTATTCAATGACAGGGGTGAGGCTACAAATGAACCTTTGGCCTGGTAGAGATAGCATTTCAATGTTGTCCCTCACTCTGTGAAATAGATTTTTAAATAACAGATGAGTAGCATCATAATTGTTTAACCGCACTGTGCTAATTAGCCACAGGTTTGCTTCTGCAGATCGAGTGTCTTATTTGCTTTCTTTTCTAGAAATAGATGAGAATATTGTTACCACTCTCAAGGATGTAAGATGAATACAGCTACAGCCGTCTGGTTAGCTTAGCGTAGCATAAAGACTGGAAGCATAAGGAAATAGCTAGCCTGGATGTGCACAAATCTCTAGCAAATTACACCTAGCATTAGGCGTAACATGTTATAGCTCTACTGTTTAATCTATTCATTGACTGGATAAATTAAATGAGGGTAGCCACCGGGACGTAACCCATTGGATTGCGGAGTTTGGCATTTTAGCCTTCACCGTCTTGGTTGTCTGAGACCAGAAGTGGCCATATTTGAATGATAGGGTGAAGCTGAGGAAGAGCAGGGCCCTAATGAGGAACCAGCTAAAGCTAGAGCTAGCTAGCTACTGACTTGGTTAGCATTTAGCTTGAACATAAGTTCAAGCTAAATGTGGGAAGCTTATTTTGTTTAATTAAAAACATGCTTATATTACAACACAGTCTCACGGCATTTCGTGTTATAGTCACGAAATGAATCTATTGATTTGTGTTCACCAACACAATTTCGCCATTTTTTTCGTGTCACACAGAACGATTTTAAAAGCAATGTTAATAATAACAAATTAGAAGGAAAAACATATTAAAAAAAATACAGAATTCAGTATTCTGAGGCTCTTTGCCCCATTTATTTGGCAAAAAAACTCCGACATTATACAATTTAACCGCTGCATTTTCTATGAGGTAAATATTACCCGCTGGCGGAAATAGGTATAAATGGCATTTTTTTTGGCGATTTTTTCAATCTGACTTCATATTGACAATTGTTAACAACAGAGGGTGCTACATAACACACTTTCAGGAAAAGTCACGGACTGGGAGACTTTAATATGTTATTGAACAAAAGTTAAATACAATCAAAAAACAGCTACGGGTAAAATTTACCCGTTGGCGGTTCTAGTGTTAAAATAAAAGGGATAGGGTTAGGCTTAGGGTAAGATATTGAGTAAGACCCAACCGGACAAAAAGATGTGGTGCAGGCACAAAACATATTACCAATAGAAATACATTGCTTTTAAATTCGTTCTGTGGGACACGAAAAAAATGCGAAAATCGTGTAGGTGAACACGAATCAATAGATTAAATTAATTTATGTTTTCGACGGACTCTGGCGAAGCCTGTGCACGACCTGTACTATGCTAGGTTGAACTATTGGGGCGACGCATCATTGAAGGGGCACATATCGCTCTCGCGCTGTCCTACAGAGGAGTGGAATACCGGGGAAGAGTCGGAGTTGTTATAGGGCTCGATTCCGGAACCTGTGGGTCTGAAGCATCTATTGGGGGGACATCAATAGTTCAGCGAGTAGACTGTCCTCTCCTGAGAGGAGGTGGAAAAAAAACTTTGTCGAGGGGAATATAGGCAATCGCCGTCGATCGATCGTGGTCTTACGGATTTGTTTGTTTGTTTCGGATGTGCATTGGCCACGCGCGCGAAAAGAGAGAGCGAGCGCGGGTGTATGTGTGTGTGGAGGGGCTCGACTTGACTGTGTGTCCTCTGGTTAAGCTCCCGTAATACATACACGACATACATAGGTTTAGTATGTTTTTTTCACCTGTTTGAAGTAGTTATTCATTTCCACCGGCTCCACTGTCACCGTCTATGTGTATGTTTAATCGGGGCGGCGATCAGTTGGAGACTATTCCGCTCAGCGTCTCTGTCTTGTGGTGGTTAAAGTAGGTCTCGATGTAGTTGGTTGTTGTTCTGCTAGTGTATATTGTTGTGTGAGTCCGGGTCTTTCTGGTGAGAGATAGATATCGTCCGGTCGGTTAGCCCGTTCGGACATGTGCGGGGTCTATGGCTTATCCGTGTCAGAGGTGGTCGGACGGTCTCTTCTTTAGCGGTGAGGGTATATAGGTGGTAGATGAGCTGTAGTGTGACTCGGATAAGTTAGGTGGTCTCTCTTTCTTTTCTGCAAGAGTGTTTGTGTGTAGAGGTTTTCCTAGGTCTTGATTCTTTGTTGTGCGTGGGTGCTCACCTATTTAGGTCTGCTGTGTAGATCGTTTTCCAGAGATAAAGAGTTTCTTGTGTAAGTACAGTGTCATCCTCACTCTTCGTAATGTGGAATTGTTATTTCGGCATGTGAGCTCAATGTGTTGTTCATCACAGTTTTGTAGTGTGTTTTTCCTAGAATGTGTTACGTAGTTGTATATTTGAGTCCCCAATATCTAAGGGGGAGTTGACCGATTTCCGGTGTAGGGTCTGTAGATGGAAGTCTTTGGATGAGACTCATGATATAAACACTTATGGTCAAATCTAGACACTGATTAGGACTAGATGCTTTGGAAGAGTTTCCTCTTCTGTTGTAGTAGTTGTCTCAGCTCACTGCTGTCACGGCAAGACAATCGACAGACGGATCTGGCGCCTCTGTCTTTCTGCATTCCGCTGGTACAGATGTGTTAGAGACGGTGGGCCCTGACGGTGTTTGGAGCGCGCCTCGCTTCCGTTGAAACTCAGACGTGAACTCGGTACGGACTCATGTATCGCTTGTCAATTGGTGACAATGTGTAAGTTGCTAATTATTTTCTGTGGTGTTGGGGTCTAGCTCGTTGAGTGGAGAGTTGGTTTGGTTATTATATTTGTCTTTGTGGATATTTCCCTTGCCGGACTCCCGTGTGCCGTTCTGGTCTGTCGTAGCAAGATTTGCGGCTGATTATGCGTCTCCGGAAGTTGTGTATTTCGTGTTGGTTTTAATTGGATTTTTTTTTATTCTTTGTAGGGATTATTGTGTTGTGTCAGAGGTGGTGGAGTATATGAGTTAGCCAGTGACTTATCATTCGAATAATCCAAGAGATGAAATCGTGTATTTGTGTGTACTACGGCTCGCTGCATAGTAACCTGTTTACATGGCTTGTTGTTTAAATATTCTCTGTATTTTGTCTATGACGAGTCGTTCAACCTGCTTGTGATTGCTCTGGTCTTGTATTATGTAGTGTTTATCGCCTGTAGACTGGGAGGGTGGTGTAGGGGGGTTTGTTTATGAGGTGTCATTGGTTAATTGGGGTAGTCTTGGGGTGGAAAGAGTGGTGGGTATTAATCCTGGGTTTTTGATTCGTTGTGTTGTTGCAGTGTTTAACGGAAGATTCTAGCTGGAGACGCTTATGACATGCCTACGCTCTGGCCCCGGCTTCTGGTTTTGGTATATAGTCTAGATGGTCTTGCATGTGAACTGTCGGGATTGTACAGACTACTTAATCGAGGATAGCTCGTTCTGGACTGTTTTATCTATTATATCTTTTGGAATTTAGCGAAAAATTTAAAAGTGTGCGTGATTTTTGATAACATCGTCTACTTGTTGTATTTGTCGAATCTCGCTATGTTAGACTCGTGGTAAAGGGTTAGTTTAGCATTCAAACAGAAACAGTACTTTTTTTTCTTTTTCACCTCTGTTAATGACGTATAGTATTATTGTCCCAGTGTAACTACTTTCAAATACTCTTACGGTATCGTTACCTCTTTTAACATTATTTCCAGATAAGTAATAGGAGAAGAGATTTTGTGCGGCCAATGTTTCCTCTTTACGTTGCTGTATTATTTAGTTAGTGGTGACCTGTGTGTTTTGTAATATAACGTGTGGTAATGCTGAAGCTTTCTTTTGTAAACAATGTGGTAAGTAACATAGAAGCCATTTTGTTTGTGAGGTTGTAGCTTATATTTTTTATTGTGTTGTATATATAGTTCATGACTTTTTTTGTGTTTGGTTTCTTTATTATTCGGAGATAATATATATATGGCGCGTCTTGGAATATATTTTTGTTGCTTCATAATAACTGTACCATACATATGTTGAAAATGTTGTCGTTCCGTCATTATTTTTATTTGTATTTTCTGTATCTTTTTTTGTTTACAAATATGAATCTTTTATCCGTATCTGTTGTTGAGCTTTTTCTTTTGAGGATGTCGTTAAGTAACCTATTAAGTATCTCTAATTGGAGTACTGTTAGTAGTCAGGTTTTTGTTTTTAAGTCCATTTTGATTTGTTGTTTGTAATGTTCTTTAAAATGATGTCTGATCTCTTAAGATTATGATGTGAATAATAATGGGAGCTATTGTTTACTCGTATGTTATGTTTTCCGATTTTTGTACTAGGATTGACAGTAATTTGATTTTCAGCAAGACATAGCGAAAATCGATGTTTGTATTATCCAACACTTTGTAATCCTGTGGAAAAGTGACGTTCAATCTGACTTTCAGAGATAAACTTGTAAGGAGAGGCTCTGTCTTGAGTAAGATCAGAGTAAGATATATATGTGTCATCGTTTGCTTTTCCACTTTCATGATATAGGTCGAGTACAAGTGAAGTATAAAGTTAATAAGTGTTATTTTGTTCAAGATCTCCACTGTGCGATAAACACTTTCTGTTTTCGTAACTTCATCGATGGGTTTAGGAGAGACCTTCTTACCTCTCTGTCTTCTTCTCTGTGGTCGCGGTTAGCGACGCCGATGGACGGGGTGCACAGAACTGACTTGATTCAATGTCTTGCCAACTCAACGTTTGATTAGTCGACTCTAAGGTAGGCAGAGCTTGTAGGGTGACGGACAGTACAGGTTCAAAACCGTTTCTAATTTCATTGTATGTTAAGAAGTTATTTCCAAATTAGGTGTCGTCATAAAACTGGGGGGTCCTTTCTTTTATCGTCTCCTAACAAGGTATACACGTTTCACTTATGAATCAAAGACTAGGCCCGGTCTCCCACTTTGTAATAAAATTAAACAGACTTCATTAACGGAGGCATTGTAAAGTTTGCATAAGCATACCGACTTGCCGATCACCACAGGTAGAGACATGTCTCCCATCATATAATTACCAAGCTGTAGAAACCTTTATGCCATTAAGTGAAAGTACGGCGTTCTACTAAATTTTGTCTCACTCTACTCTTTTACATATGGTTACAAACATCCTTATCTATTTTTGGAAGGTGATCGGCAGGTCAAATCGAATCGATCGGGTCTTTACTTCCCCTATGTCGATTCGAATAGAAAGAGACTCACAACAACAAGAGTAAAAACACTTCAACAGTCCATTGTTTGTTTCTGAGGTTCCTTCAAAGCCACATTAAGGGCGTTGGGTTGTACAGGAAAAAATGAATATTATATGTTGGGTCAGAGGTGACGTAAAGCACAATATCA